CTCAAATGAGTTTGGGAATTATTGTGATGATGAGAATATAGAGCGTGAGGTTGTGCCACCCTATAGTCCTTAGCAAAATGGTGTTGCCGAAGGGAAAAATCGTTCGATAATGAACATGGTTCTTAGCATGTTGAAGGGAAAAGGCTTATTGAAGGAACTATGGGGAGAAGTCGTTTCTACAGCCGCCTATTTGTTGAATAGGTTCCTTATAAAGAAGCTTGATAAAGTAACTCCATAAGAGGTATACTATGGATTTAAACCAAGTTTAAGTCAGTTGAAAGTTTTCGGTTTTGTGGCATTTCGACATATTTCGGTTCAGCTTTGAAAGAAGTTGGATGACAAGAGTGAGATGATGTTGCTTGTTGGTTATCATCCTACTAGAAGTTACAAATTGTTTGATGTGAAAAGCAAGAAGATTGTAATAAGTTGAGATGTGGTAGTGGATGAGGTAAGGTTGTTTGACAGCAGAAAACTAGGCATGAAAGGTGTGGAAATCGATTTCTAGGATGAGGGAAATTGATTTCCCTCGCGATTTTTGCATCTTGAGGCTCCTGGGACTGTTTCTGCAGAAGCTAAAATCAATTTTCCATATCCTGAAATCGATTTCCAACACGAAAACCATAATTTTCGGAATTTTGCAGGTCCAGTTCAGCAGCCAGTCAAAGTCAGAGACAATAGTATATAACCAACTAGGCAAAGAGGTTTATCTTAGAAACTCCAAGATTGTGAATTATTCCATGATAATAAAATCAATGATGATGGTGATCTCATTCACTTTGCGCTTATGGTCGAATACGAGCCTGTTAGCATGGAAGAGGCATTAAGCAATCAAAAGTGGGTGTGTACGGTGAAAGAAGAGCTAAAATCGATTGAGAAAAATAGTACTTGGGAGTTGGTTGATCTACCGGAAAGAAAGAAGCCAATCGGAGTGAGATGGGTCTATAAAGTGAAGGCAAATCCCAAAGGTGAAATTGTCAAGCATAAGGCTCGACTAGTTACAAAGGGATTTTTGCAAAGAGAAGGTATAGACTTTGATGAGGTGTTTACACCTGTAGCTAGGAAAGAAACCATATGGATGGTTGTTGGTATTGCGAATAACAATAATTGTTCAATTTATCAAATGGATGTGAAATTCGTGTTTTTGAATGGTCCACTTGAGGAGGAAGTTTATATCAACAACCCCCTGATTTTGTTATGATAAATCAAGAGGAAAGGGTCTACAAATTGAAGAAAGCACTTTATGGTTTGAAACAAGCTCCTAGAGCTTGGAACAAACACATTGATGGTTTCCTAGTTAATTTATGCTTCAAGAAATGTGTTTTCGAACATCGTATCTATGTGAAGACGGATGCAAGCAAAGATGTGATCATAATTTTCTTATATGTGGATGACCTATTAATCACGGGCAACAATGAGTCGAGTATTTATAAGTTTGGGGGTAAACTTATGGAAGAATTTGAAATGAGTGACCTTGGAATCATGACTTACTTTCTTGATATAGAGTTCGACAAATCAAAATTGGGACTGCTCATGCATCAAAGAAAGTATGCTCTTAAGATTTTGAAAATATGCGATATGGAGCATTGTAATGCTTCCAATACACCTACTAAAGTAAGGTTGAAGCTGTCCAAAAGTGATGATGAGCATAATATAGATCCAATGTAATATAGGAGATTTATTGGATCATTATGTTACTTATGCAATATGCGGCCATATTTGGTATTTAGTGTCGGTATTGTGAGTAGATTCATGGAGAGACCGAAAGTGTCTCACTTGGAAGCAGATAAGAGGATCCTAAGATACATCAAAGGAACTCTTGGCTGTAGAATTCTCTTTCCCGCAGCTGATACGGGCAGAAAGTGCGATTTGCTTGGTTACACGGATTCCAATTGGTGTGGAGATAAGGATGATTGAAAGTTTGTCGCTGGTTATATCTTTATGTTCGTAGGAGAACCAATCTCTTGGTGTTCTAAAAAGGAACATGTGGTGGAACTCTCTTCTTGTGAGGCCAAGTATATCGTTGCATCGTTATGTGTGTGTCAGGCTGTGTAGCTTATGAATCTGCTGGAAGAGTTGGGCAGTAAGGTTGAAAAATTTGTCACACTCTTGATTGATAATGTTTCAGCTATTAACCTTGATAAGAATCCCATTTCACATGGGAGGAGCAAATATATTGAGATGAGGTTTCATTACTTGAGGAATCTGGTGTGTGCAGGCCAGCTGAGATTAGGATATTGTCAAAGTGAAGAACAAGTTGTGGATTTGTTAACGAAAGGTGTAACAAATGTAGTGTTCAAGAAGCGTGTGATAAGTTTGGGCATGAAAAACTTGGACTATTTGAATTAAGGTGGTGTATTGGAAGTCCTTAATAATTCAAATGCATTGTGGAAGCTTCTGAGAGCGTTACGTTGAAAATAACTTATTAAAAAACACTTTTGGAAATTTGGAATTTGGAAAATTCGAAGAGGAAATCAATTTCCTCTTTTGTGGAAATCGATTTCAGCGGCTTTAGTTTGTTTCAGTTTTCTGTTTTTAGTTGGGGAAATTGATTTCCCTGTTTGTGGAAATCGATTATCGTCCCGTATTTTGTGTTTTTTCAGCTGTTTTTGTACCTGTTTGGTTCTAACTTGTAATTTTGGTATCCTATAAATACTCTCTCATGTAATGTTGTTCTGTTAATGCCAATTTTACATTTCTCCTCAATTTGACTCAATTACTATCTCTCTCTCAATATCTTCAAATTCACTTCATCTTCTCCAAATAACCACTTTTCTCTATTGATTCACCACACAAGTTTTGTACTTGTTCCAACAAAAAGAATCCTATGAAAATCCAATTTTGCCCCTTTGTTTCCGAAAGTGTATTTCTGGAATACATTGTTTTTATTAGACTTCAGTGAATCTCGAAAATGCATTTCCGAAAACACCTTATACACATACAATTTCATTCATTTTTGAGCTACGCTCCAATTTTCTGATTTAATTTATTCTAGAAATACACTTTCGATTATTCTTGAAAATACATTTCCAGTACCTATTGAATATATTATATAGTATCATCACAAAGAAAAGAGACTTGAATGCAGATTTTCTAAAATATGACCATTCTATATTCATGTTTAATTATAGAACTAAATTAAAAGAAAGAAGAAAAAGAGAATATTTATATTACTTAAATCAACTTGAACCGGCCACCACAACAACAACCAACTGGTTTTATTAAAATTTCTGGAAATATGGCCCATTAATTTGTTTTTATTTAGGATTATTTGTTTTTTTTTTTTTGAAAGGAGGATTATTTGGTTCTTGGAATAAGAGATATTTGGTAGCTATGTTACAATATCTCCATTTTAATTAGTTTCAGGGTTGAGTGTAGCCATGATTTAATTCCTTGTACTCATATTTTCCAGAGTATGAGAATTCAGCATCTCTATTCTCTGCCGTTCTACAGAAATCATTCGTTGTTTTCCAAAGTATGAGAATATAGCACATGCAATAATGAATTTTGGAGTGTGAACACCGTTGGCGTAATTTGGGAGATCAAACGAGAAACATTTTTACACTTGTGAATTTTCTTTGTTAGAGATTTAAGGTGATAAGTGTGTGAATTCTTTCACTTATAAATACTAAGTCTTCACATATTTAATCAACGTGAGACTTCCTCGTACTACTCACATTTCTAATTCTTTTTTAACATTCTCCCTCACATGTGAGTCTATTCACAATACTTTCTCTCAAATATAAACTCATTCTTCCATAAACACACGTTTGTATCACTAAACATAGACCTATTTATCCCACCGGTAATGTCAGACTAGGAGTCATGGAAAACTTATTCCTCTACTTGGTTGGATCCGTCGAAGTAATTAGTGTCGTCTTCATTATATAAGTTGATTTCAATTAAAATCCAGTATATATTATATTTAAATAAAGTTTGGAAAAAAATTAACTTGTCACCCCCTTTATCCTTATATTGCATGTTTTTATTATTATACTTTTATTTAAAGTTATCAAATTCTAAAAAGTATGAGTTTTTATCGGAAATTTTAAACTATATTGAAAATTTTCAAAAAATAACAAAAATTTCAAAATTTCCAATAAAAAAAACATAATTTTTATGAGTTTTTACGAAAAATTTAAAACTATATCGAAAATTTTAAAATTTTCGATAAAAATTCGTGAATTTTCCAACAATTTTGAAATGTATGTGTTTTTACAGAAAATTTCAAAATGTTTAATAAAAACTTATATATTTTTTACCAAAATTTTTGAAAATATGTTATCGAAAATATTAAATGAATTATTGAAAATTTTATTACCAATTTTTTTGAATAAATTACTGAAAATTTTGTTCACACTTTGTAACTCAAATTTGTCTATGAAATAATTGTTAAAATTATAGAGATGCTACGTTCAATTTGGGATGGCAAGTTTAACGGCAAGGCCAAAAATGCACTACCATGAGACGAGAAAATTGCGTTAGCATTAGTAACAACTTTTAAAAATATTGATTGGCTATGAAAAGACACTTTAAAGGTGTTAAAATTGATTTTATTAAGTTTCAAGTGTGAAATTTGTGTTAAAATTTTATATAAATTAACAATCGAGAAAATATTAAATTTACAAGAGAGGAGACTTATATCTTATTATTTTAAATTTTTTGATAAATATATAGTATTACAGTCTTTTTAATATTTCCGAACTTCTCGAACTTCTACAAAAGATTATAAGAATGTAAAATTAATTTTGATATTTTTAGAATTATAAGTAGTATAAAAGTTATATATAATAGCTTCTAATTATACCGAAAATCATGTGAATATTTGAGAAATTAATAACTAGTTGCGTCTTACGCGTATAATTTGATTTTTAGCTAACTTTTATTACATATTTACGGTAATACTCAACATATATTTGGTCTAAATTGTAGGGTTTTGGTGTAAAACCCTTGATAGATGTTAAACCCTATATAGAAACTTTCTTCCACTATCGTTGACGGCGATGGCTGATTCTTCAACCAACCCAAAGGATCATCAAAAAAATTCACGTCTCTATCATCCCTACCAGCACCTCAACATTCCCGTCGACAAGCTCTACAACCTCCCCACCTCGCCGGAGCATCTCTTCCCAGAAGAAGCTTCCAGAAAGCACCGTTCATGGGCCGACAACCTCCAGTACTACACCGGCACCGGCTACCTCTCGGGTTCCATCATCGGAGGCACAAGAGGAACGATTGAAGGTCTCAAGGCTGCTGAGGCAGGCGAGTCTCTTAAGATCCGAGTCAACCGTGTTCTTAACTCGGGTGGTCAAGGTGGTCGTAGACTCGGTAACTCGCTTGGGGTTTTGGGATTGATTTTTGCAGGATTGGAGAGTGCTATGATTCATGTTAGGGATACGGATGACTTGGTTAACAGCGCGGTTGCCGGACTCGGTACCGGAGTACTTTATAAGGCTGCGGCTGGGCCTCGATCGGCTGTTATTGCTGGTGCTCTAGGTGGAATTGCGGCGGCTGTGGCAGTTGCCGGGAAACAAGCTTTTAAACGACACATTCCAATTTAAAGAGGTTGATCATAATCCAAGTTTAGATTAAATTTGGATGTAATGTTGTTGTTAATTTTAGTGTATGTTACATGAATTTGACGAAACTTCGATGACACTTTGAATTGTTGTTGCCACACACTTTGGTTTTGTAAACCCTCTAAATATAAATTCATGTATTTATTAAATTTAAGCATACATTTAACCTTGTATTTAAATTGCTTGAAGAATAATCAAGTTTTTAAAAATTAAATAAATTTGGTCCATATAGATTCACTTCACAAATAATTAATAACAGAAACGAATAGGGCTTAAAGGGTGCAACTACAATCAATATATCTATCTCAAAAACCATACTCTTAAAAGAATAATCCTATAATCAACTATAGGGCTAAAAAACAATCAAAGAATATTATAACCTACACTATTATGTGCAGTGGTAGAAAGAAAGCTTACTACTACATGCTGAAATGAGGTTGAGGTTGTGAACATTGATTGTGAAGGGACTTAGTCAGGTTTCAACATGAACACGGGTTCTGATAGGCTTTAGCTTAATTCCTAAACTTTCTTGAGAGAGGAGTTCTGGTGACATGATTGAATGATTAGAGGGGCTTGCTGGACTTGAACCGTTGCTTGACGAGGAAGCAAAATGTGGTTGTCTGTGGAAGCCAAAACCCATTAAGAAACACTCAATTGGTACTATCATGGAGTTTGGGTGTTCTTCTGTTACTAGTGAGCCACAAGCCTCAACCTGATCAAGTGAGGTTTGTAAAGCAATTGTGTTATGTTTATGTGTTATTTGAGTATCTTATGTAATTTCATATTTAATGGACATGGATTACTACGGTACCTCAACAAGTGCACAGATTTTGCTGTCCATTTTTGTACTCATGTGAATAGACTCGGCATGGAATGGACTACTCTCTCCTGCAAATATAAGTGTCTTGCATTGCAAGTTCTTTAGTCCCTCACTGAGGTCGCGCCTTCTGCAAGTATTTCAACATTTTGGTAATGAATCATGGGAACAAATGATCATAAGTAAGTTGCTAAAGTTTTAAATTTTCCACATTTTATTGGCATCATCCCTTTGTCATCTTTTTATATTTTATGTCATTTTAGTCCACTCCCAAAATCAAACAAGTTCATAATCCACAAGCTAGAATTTGGTCCACTCATACAATAATAAGAGTCAACTGTGTGCAATAATAACTATTATAAGAGGCATTCTAAGTATAGAAAAGAATTTTCAAACAAGACAGAAAACGTTAACATCAAATATCTTGAGAATATTTAAGTTGTTATCAATAATTAACCATGAGAACAATTGATAATTAAGTTCCTTAAGTTTTAAATCTTCATTGGCATTATCCAAGTTGCATTATCTCTGTTTGTTGTCTTTTTACATTTCATGCCATATTAGTCCGCCCAAAATCCATATCAAGTCCATAGCCACAAGTTAGAATTTGGTTTCACTTATAAAATAATGCGCTTATAAGTGTAGAAAGAATTTGCAACACAAATGCCGCAATTAGACAACTAGGGGCAGGACAAAAATGTCCAACTAGTCAACTAGAGGTTGGAATGAAGGCAAGCCAAATGTCGCAATTAGACTAGGGCGAACCACAATAAAGGTGGAATATCCAAAACACCCCCTCGTGCTTGGGTCTCAATGAGAGGCTGAAACACAAATGATGCAGAAAGCCCAACAACATATCCAAAACATCTAATGAAATGTGGTTGGGCCTAACTCAATCTTACAAAATCCGCTTGTACGGCGAGGGTTGTCCCAACATATGTGATATCTCTAAGTAATATGAGACTAAATTCACCCCTTAAAAGCCAACACAATGTAGGTGTTGGAGGGTGCAATGAAAGCAACACACATGCCACAATTAGGTGACTTGGGGCGGACAGCAAAGAAGGCGGAATTTCCAACAGTATGAATGTTGACATTGAATTCTCGAGAATATTGAGGTTACCATCAATAAAAACAGGATTGAGACAGTTACACTGTTGTATGAAATGGCTTAGATAGATTAAAAATTTGGAGGGAGGAGTGAAGTTTGTAAAAAACATCATTACTTACGCATTAACTGCTTGAAGAAAACGCATGACATTTAAACTTTGCCTTTCATCCAGAAGCTGCAATTATAGAACAGAAAAGAGAATCTTCAAATCAGAATTGTACACATACAAAATTATCCTAATTGCCAAGTTAATTAGGCATTTTCTGAGGAAAAAATAGAGTTTTACATACTCTTCGGCAAGTTAGTATTACTTCTGATTCTGATCCCTCAATACTGCATCTAAGCTCCTATAAAAGATGTAGAGAAGTAATGTCACCTCCAGAAATGATTCTACCTGCATAGTACCTGATAAAGAATGAGAAGAATACCTTACTGAAGTAACGTTGCAGGAGGCATTCCTTCAGTAAACCGCACATACCATAGAAGTACAATAAGTTCATCAAGACCTACATATATGTAGAAAACCTGTAAACATTCTATTTCAAGGGATCATTTTACAAGTTTTATATTGTTTTGTTGTATGCTAAAGGCGTTTAGAATCACAGTTAGATGGCTTTTAAAGTGCGGTCAACTAAACAGCTGCAGCTTTGAGCTCAACTCACAATGTTACTGTGGAAACAATGATTTTCAAACACACATGATAAATAGTTTGGCACATTACTACTTTCCTTGATATAGTTGTTGGAATTTCATTTTCAAAAGATAACTTATGATAAAAGCATGGAGACTGAGAGGAAACCTTGTTGTAAATCCATTCAGTCCATGAAGGTCCTTTACAAATCGGTGAAACAAGAATCAATCCAAGCACTCGTTCTTTGTATTTCATCTGCCAAGCAATGAAAAAATTAACACGATGGTTTACTATATTAGATTGTTGAATATGAAACTCATAAAACTATAACTCAGCTCAGAGTTACTAACTTACAGCAAATAGTGTGAGGATGTAAGCACCAGCTGTTACACCCATGCACATAACCTCTCTTAGCCTGATTCATGACAGTTTCGTATGAAAGTTAAAATCATAATCCAAATAAGTCTATCATAAGGCCAGTTTCATTAGTGAATATTTACTCAGTTCCCTTAGTTCAATATAGAATCGGTGAATAGCGAATGTTATGCTTACCCGAAAAAATCAAGCACTTCTGCAACCTGATCAGCTAGGTCATCCACACAAAGCAACGGTTCATCCGAAGAAATCACATCAGCTCCCAACTGCAATATCTCTTAAACAAATGAGAAAAAATTGATGTGAATTCAATGAAATTGAAGCTAGCATGTACAATAACACTAGAAAGAATCCGTATACTAACCTCATGCCCTGGAGCATCAATGTGATAAATACAGAAGTTACGAAGCATCAAAGAAGCTGCTTCTGGACAAAACAACAGACCCTGAAAACAAGACACATCTGCAAAAAAACACTCCATGATTTCAAAAACCATATCCATAGTGATTCCAAACACACAAACAAAGCACCAAACATCTAAAACTAACAATCTGGTGTTGAAATTCACTCATACACATCAAAATCAAACCAAAATGAGCAACAAGTACAAAATCATACAATTGAGAGCCACATCTGGGTAAGTTATTAGAGCAGGTTTATCTCGATCCCCACAAACAAGCACAGACACAGAACCTTTGCTTGTTTTCACTATACATTCCTGCAAACTCCAAAAAAAAACAAACACTAAAATGATTATTTCAATCTCTACTTTCACATTATTCTCAGTTTCTGATGAGTGAAAAAGTTTGATTACCTTTCCTCCTAAAGGTATCAAATCAATGTCAATGGAGAAACAGTCGGTTGAACTTCTCATGATAGAGTCAAAGAAACGTGCACGAAGTAACGAACTAGAAAAGCAAAACTGAATCAACTTGTTATTTTCTTTCTTCTTAGTTCTTACACTTCTTGTCCCTATTTTTCTGTTACTTGTGTCAAATTACCGTCACGACCTTCATATTTGAAGAGTACAAAGAAAACAACACGAGTGAGACCATGTAAACAGAAACAAAGGTACAATATTTTACAGTGTTTGTTTGTCGTATGTGTTGTTGAGTAGTCAGTGACCGTTGGAAAGGTTAAAACTATAATCTCTCCGTTTCAAAATAATCATAGTATAAAGTTTTTACACACAAATTAAAAAATATAATAATATTATAATAAGATATTACATTTTTATAAAATTAATCATATTAATTAAAGAATATAATTAAAAAAAATATATTTTAAAACAAAATTTATTTGTTAAAACGCTTAAATTTTAAGAATACGTTATTATCCGTCTAGTCGAGTTTATTTGTGAACGCTCTGTACTCCAATTAAAATAGTGTGTAGCTGGAATGGGATGGGGTTGAAAGAAAGGACAGCGAAGAGATTAGCGGCGCACATGTGATGGAAGTAACTGGGATGAGATGAGAGGTATCATAAATTGATAGAGTCATAAATGAAATTAAAATGATGGGAGTATTTTTGGAGGGGCATTATTATCCAGCTGTAATCCACCTGGATTTATTATTACAGAAACATCCTATACTAAATTATGATTATATGACAGCTCTTCAGTTCTCTCTCATGGACCCACTTATAAAATGGGGGTATGTATAGTTAGGATTCGGATTTTTTTATTATTACTCCTCTTTTAACCTATGTACATTTTTTTATTATATTTACAAAATTAATTGATAAATATAATCGGTTTGTTTTTTTACGTTTATTTTCTAAAATATATCATTTATATGTAATGTAAATATATTTTCTTTTTTTCTTTTCAAAATATTTTTATTTGCAAATCCTTAAGTATTAGATGCATTACAAAATAGTATACGATATTTTTTTTTTATTTTAATAATATTTTTTCTTTGGTCTCTTTTTTGATTTTTCTTATTCTCATTTCAATGTTTTTGTTAAGCTATTAATTGGCCTTTGATGTTTAGTTCTAACATCAAAGCAGGTTAGTGTTTATCTATAAGGGAAATACAAGTGAAGTGTGAGGAAAATAGAGTGAAATAAATAGTGAAGAAAAGTTGTATAGATTTTTCTTGAAATTGAAGAAAGATGAATGCAAACGATGGTTTCTCAATCAATATATTGACACTTGATAGAAGTAATTGGAAAAGATGGAGTGTTCTAATGAAATTATTGTTTGGAGCACAAGAAGTGCTTGAAATCGAGCAAGGGTAAAGAATTAGGTGCAGATCCAATTGATGCTCAAAGAATCACCTTCAAAGAATTAAGAAAAAAAGGACTACAGAGTTTTGTTCTACATTTAGCAAAATGTAGATTTTTACCATTTTGAGAAGATCCCAAAGGCCTCAAAATCAAAGGAAGCATGGATGTGTTAGAGAAGTATCATGATGATGGAGAGAAAGGGAAACAAGTGAAGTTGCGGTCACTAAGGGGAAGGTATGAACAAATGCAAATGGAGGAGAACAAAAAATCAATGATTACTTCTCAAAAGTAAGCTTTGGTCTATCAAATAAAGACCTGCGTGGTGAAGGAATCACTGATCACCAGGTAGTTGGGAAGGTAACAAGATCTTTAACATCAATATTTAATTTCATAGTTGTTGCAATACAAGAATCTAAAGATCTCTAGAGTATGAAGATTGAGGATTTGCATAGCTCATTAAAAGCACATCAACTAATGGTAATTGATAGAGATATGAAATAGAAATTCAACTAGCATTGCAGGCTCAAATAATGCAAATGATGGAGTGGAAAGGAATTTCAAGAAGACAGATGATGGGTGTATGGATCCTTTCACTTACAAAGTGCTCAACCCCCTCAAATGTGAGTTCATCTATTATGCTCTCCACAAGCAGAAACTCTTTCATCCACATAAGATATTTCATAACCTTTTTGGATGAACACACACGAATGATGTGGCTTTATACCACCAGTCTCAAAAGTGAAGCCTTTGTAGTCGTCAAGAAGTTCAAAATCTTAATTGAGAAAGAAAGTGGCAAAACAATTAAGATTTTGAGGTCAAATGGAGGTGGAGAATATATATCAAATGAGTTTGAAGTATATTGCAACAATGAAGGCATAAAGCATGAAGTAACCTCACCTCATACACCAAAACATAATGGTCTTGCAGAAGGAGCAAGTTGAAACACAAGAATTTGCCACATCAATTATGGACTGAGGCAATCAATACTTCAACCTATATCCTTAATAGGTATCCAACTAAGAAGCTTAAAAATAAAGTACCAGAAAAAGCTCGGTGTTTAAGAAATCCATATGTGAAGTATCTAAAGATTTTTGGATCAGTATACTATAAGCATGCACTTGATCAAAGGAGGACCAAATTTCAAAACAAGTGAAAAGATGATGCTCGTAGAATATCATCCAACAGGTGTCTGCAAGTTATATAATCATGTTGGTAAAAAGGTTCACATTAGGAAAGATGTGGTCTTTGATTAATCTGGGGCTTAAAAATGGAAGACAAAAGATACAATGGAAGGTGAAAGCCAGACACATTTGTGTAGACTATGATGAGAATGAAGAGTTTGATAATGAAACAAATGGTGAAGACAATGGAGTTGGTGAAGTTGCGCAAACTGAATCTCATGTTTATGAGAAGTCACAAAGGAAAAGATTAGTACATAGAAGATTAGAGGATTGTGAAGTATGAGATTAATGATAGTTCAGTATCTAGTTACTGATATCTCAGTATGTGATTATTGATAGCTTAATATGTGGTTAGTGCTAGATATGCATGTGATTATTATTAACTCTGTATGTGGTTATTAATTAGAATTTATTTAGTTAGTAGTATAATCCTATATAAACGATGTAACATATGTTTATAATGCAATAATTACATTTCAATAATAGTTCTCTCTCTCTCTCTCTCTCTCTCTCTCTATATATATATATATATATATATATATATATATATATATATATATATATATATATATATATATATATATATATATATATATATATATATATATATATTCTAGTGTTTCTCATTTTTATTTATGTGTTACTTTCTTTGCAAGTAACAATTTTTACTACACCATTAATTGGTATCATAGCCTGGTTCGAGTAAAGTAATTGAATTGTTATATCGAAAATTTTCTTGACGTGGTGGTGGTTAAGCCATGTATCCTATTGAAGTGACTGTGTCATGGTAAGAGTGTTTGTCAGCAGCATTACAAGTATGTGAATGAAAAGGTTTTCGTTTGAGAGGGAGCATAGTGGAGGAACTCACACTTGAGAGAGATATTATAGAGGAACAAATGTAAGTTGTGCAAGTTCTAAATTTCTTAGAAAATTAGAGGTTGAACACTTTATAAATGAGAGAACTTATACACTTAGTGCTTTGAGGTTTTGTGTGAATATTTAGTGTCTTTCTCACTTGCTTGGGCGAGTCTTTAACCCAATGTGAATGTTTTCCCTCATTATGTCCCATCACTTTTTGTATTTCATTGTATTTGATGGCTGATGAATCAAACAAAATTTTATACATTGTTCATTGTTAGAATTATTTATGCACTTTAACGAGTAATATAAAGTTATTGTGAAAACACATTGGTCTAGTCTTCTATATAAAAATTATCTATTATTCATCATATAACAAAGAAAAGTGATTTATACTCCACTTTAACTGATAATCACCCCTCTTGATCTAGATAATTTTCCTTTTCAATGAAATATGTGATTTTTTACATATATTTTAGCGTTTTGTTAACATGGAGTTGTCTTATTTTTCATCTTTTTGTAGTGCTCTTTGATTTAGATTAATAGATTATCTTTGATTCAGATTCAGGTTATATTCAATCAATTAAATTTTTAACACACTATTAGAATCACATATGTAAATAAAAAAACACATAAACTTTTTTAAAAATATAACTTTTTTAAAAGGTGTTTTGGACTGGGCCCGAGCAGGGCCCAACGTCGGGCACGGCCCTGAAATTCTGGTATAACAGAAATCAGATGTCCTATGACATGTTGGGACATATGATCTGACTTAAACAAACAAGCAATGTATAAACATATTAAAACAGTATTGAAAAGCAATAAACAACACACAGAGATTGTTAACCTAATTCGGAGCAACTCTCATACTCTGGGGCATACCAAGCCAGAGACAAATCCACTATGATAATATCAATTCGAAGCTAAACTCCTCCGTTTACAATTTCTCACTTAATCACTACCCGTGCTATATTTATACCTAAGACTCGCCTAGGTATGAGGCCCTCCTCAATCCTTCATCAATTACAGACAACAATTGGACAACAACACAGGAAGACACACTTCCATGACAACAAAACAGAAGACACACTTCCATGATAATACCTAGTCAAGACCTAAAGGTAAACTCCACCATTTACAAATTTACTCCTAAATAAGAACACAACTTAGAGTTATTTAAAAGCTTCCTCCAAGAACAATAATCAACTCATTACTTCACAATTTCTGAGTGAGAACACAATGACCGTCTCACAACCCGAGTGGTTCACTTACACCAACTATCCTAGATGGTGGCGACAATGAAAAAGCCCTAGACTTATACATCTCGAACTCGTACAAAAATAGGTTATAAACCCTTCTATTTATAACCTATTCCCAACTGGATTTGGGTCTTCAATCACAGCATATCAGTTGTTTCAAACCAACAAAAACTTATTCTACAAATAAGGTCTTTAATCATTAGTTTACTAAAATATCTCCATATTTGGAAACTACATATTCTTCAATATTATGGCTTGATTATTCTTGACATGTAATTCAGCGCCACATAGGATAATATAATACTCCCAGAATATTTTGCATCAGTTAAATCATAACAGAATCTAATTGT